TGTCCAAATCGGGACACTTTTGAGAGAGACAATAATGTTTAACCTATAGAACGTCTTGATTTTAGGCTTAATGCAGAACTGTCTAGGGCAACCTAGAATGTCTGCTCACTCTCCCAATAAAGAAAAAAAATGGTAAATGGTGAGGGAAAGGGAGGAAGAGGATCTAAATGTAAACAAACAAACATACCAGACAACACCTGCTCACAGATTCTTTTTTAAAGTCTCCATTCACAAAGCAGGCTGTCTGAACTGGAAGAAGCTTCTCTAATTGGATATTTTATGGGTAAAGCTTAAACACGAGTCTCTCCAGTGTACCTGTTATATGACTAGGAGTGTATTCACCAACAAAGCTAGCCTGCTTGTTTCTGGATTTCTAGATGCTCACACGTCAGGGTGGTTTAATGCTCGTCATTTTACTCCCAAGGCTTATGGGACTTTGAGTTATTACTCGTAAACATAGGAGGTCTGTCTCCACTCTGGTGGATTTACTGTTCCTATTTCCCCCTGTTTCTTTCTTCCACATTGCTATTATTTAAAAAATACAGTCTAACCAGAAAAAGTTTCCCTTCCTATACAGAACTAGAGCTGAATAAAACTGAGAACTTAGTGTACCTTTGAGGTCCCAGCCTCTCCTTTCATTGCCTCTTCCCCATGCCCCTAGGTCCCTTTAGGTGGGCATTCCATTACTTTGCTTGCTCTAGGCCTGCGTACATTTGTTTCTTTTTCCTTTGGACATGCTTGACCAGTTAATGCTTGTCTTCTTCTCATTCTTCTAGGCTGAAGGCATCAACTAAGTCAATTGTTACTTCGACTTCCTTCAGCCAGTGCTCCAGTTTTTATGCAGCCATGAGACTCTGATGTTGGAGGGCATCTGGTGGGCCATACATTTTAGAAAGGGTAGATTTTATGTTTCTTTAAAAATCATGCTACAAGGATAGCTCCTAGAGATACCTTTCCCTGAGCCAACATTGTTACCTTTTACATTATTCCTTCTATGAAACAACAATTTTCGGAGATTCTTGACTGAGAACCCATGTAGTCCTTTTGTTTAAAACAAAGGGTTAAAGTAAAGCCATAGCTGCTGAGATAGAAGGGAAAGAAAAGCTAGTCCTATTTTATCTTCATCTAGTTTTCTTTAAGCTGCTTTCTCCTTATATCTATCTTCTTGCAGCTTCTTTTAGGCTAAGAATAAAAAACTTTGAGCCCCACAATAGATCTCCAACTCTGTGGGGTCTTCCCTTTTCTCCTACAATAAAGATGAAGCCCAAATTTGAAATCTGAAAGGAAACTAAATCTTAACTGTGAACATAATCTTTCAAAACACTGACCTCCATTTGTTTCCCTTAATATCTCACCCGTGTGATCTTTTTCTTTTAGCACCAAGAAATTGCTGAAGGAAGAAACGTTAGATCTAGTTTTTAATTAACTTCGCCATTGATTTCTACATAACTCTGCGTGAGTCACTGTTCTTTAGTGAATGGGATGAAAACCTCCAAGATTAATTGTTGTTACCAGGAATTTTTCTGGACAGGATTCCAGATACTTTACACTTTCTTCACTCTGAACCGATTAGCTTACTCTATTCTTCACCCTAAAACACAAAAATGCACACACAAATGTGGGCACATTTATATGTGCCAAATGTACTTTCAGAATGAAAATATCAGGGAAAAAGGAAGGCGATTATATACTGCATTTAATAGTTGCCATAAAAAAAGTCCTGTTCTACAGTTTTTCAATATAATTTTAACAGAGTTGTTTATTCAGGTATTATATATATTGAATAAAAATTTAGTTATATATAAGTGAGGAGGAAAGTGGCTGATGGATCTTAAAATATCCAGAAACCAGATTGATACACCATATATTTTAGGCATTAGAGGTTGATGTACTTCTTTTCTCACACGTTTCTGTAATAGTATGTGGAAAGATACAGTAATATTTTCTAAATTAAGAGAAAAGTGTAAAAATGGGAAAAATATTAGAAAATGTAGAAGAGAATGCCTCAGATGTAATTTTTAGTGAAATGAATAAACTTTGTATTTCCTCCTTCTAATATGTTACCATTCTAAACCATCTTTAGCTAGTCAGCATCATCATGCTCCAGTTTGTAAATGTTTAATTTAAGCCTCCTAATGCATTTTTATGAACAGTTTTCTTCTGTTTGTTGTCAATTTCAATTCTGACTGATTTGAAATCTGAATATTGATTATAATCAAGCAAAAGCTTTGTCTGATATCTGTTATTGTCGTTGCCACTTTAAAGGTTATTCTTTTTCCCTTGGATGCCTCAAAGTATTTTTGTACTCCGAAGGACTAGATTAAAAGTTTTCCAGAATTTAGAATAATCCTGAAGAAACCAACCAGTTATATGAAATATTGATTAATACCTAGTTCTTTCCATTATTTAACAACACGATGAATGCCACCTCAATTTTCCAGTCAAGCCCTCCTCCCACCTCCCTGAATCCTGGAGTCTTCCTTGACCCTGGTCTTTTTTGAGACCACTTTCTGAATCCCTGGCTGTTTGGATTGTGTTTCAAAATTACCTCCTTCATTTGGTCTCTCTTCTGCTCTGGTGCAGTTGCTGAAAGAATCTTTGGGGTGACTTCCCCGTCTTCTCCCTTCTGGTCTTCTTTTCTTCAATTCTTTCTCTACTCTATACCAGAGTGACTGATACCTATCAGGCCTATTGCACCTTCTTGCATCTTATATTTTGGCAACCCCAAACTCATTTTCCCTCTAACATTATAGCCCTATTCTTTCTTTTTCCATGTCTTCTAATATGCTGCTTCTTCAGCCTGGCTCCCTTTACCTGATAATGTCTGAGTCATCCCTCAAATCTTATTGAGCTATTCTCTTCTCCAGGAAGCCCCAGTTAAATACTTCTGAGGGCTTCTTCAGCTTTGGACTTCCTCTGAGGAGATTCTAATTCTGCTTTGAGTAATATACTGTTTTTTTTTTTCCCCTTCATTTTCTAATTAATCATGTGAGAACAGGGACTGATACGGTCTGGCTGTGTCCCCACCTAAATCTCATCTTTAATTTTTGCTCCCATAATTCCCATGTGTTGTGGGAGGGACTGGTGGGAGATAAGTGAATCACAGGGGTGGTTTCCCCCATACTGCTCTTGTGGTAGTGAATAATTATCATGAGATCTAATGGTTTTATAAGGGGTTTCCCCTTTTGCTTGGCTCTCATTCTCTCCTGGCTGCTGCCATATAAGATGTGCCTTTCGCCTTCTGTCATGATTGTGAGGCCTTCCCAGCCATGTGGAACAGTGAGTCCATTAAACCTCTTTTTCTTTATAAATTACCCAGTCTCAGGTATGTATACATACAGGGACCATATCTGTTTTCTTCACCATGGGATCCCAAGAACCTAGAATGATCCCCATCATGTGGTGAACACTTTTACTTTTTGAATGTATTTTTACTTTTTAGTATCCTTTTCTGGCACACCTCACTAATATTCTGAGTATCATTTAAACTATTTATAAAATTAGACTTTAGAACACAAAGATAAATGGGTTCACTTTACCATAGTAACTAGGTAACTTGGTATGAACTAAAAGTAATTTTTAAAACTCAACCCAAAATGACTGTCTATCTAAACTGGTAAGAAGAGTTTTCAAAATACAAACTGCAGAACTGCCGACACATGGCAAACATACATTTGCCAATGGGAGCAACAAATGGGGAACAAACCAAGCTCAACTTGTTTTGGAAAAAACCCTGTTGTTTTATTATTATTTAGAAAGCACACGCAGCGATTTTTTGGGGCAAAAGAAAAAAAATGCAAAATAAGTGAGCACACAAATTCATTTTAAAAGAACTGGTGTCACTTCCCAAGTCATATCTATGTGAGCTTTTTAAACTTTTGTATTTCTTATATCTGTATACATAATCAGAGTTATGGATATAGATATATGGAAACACATCACACACTCATCAGAAATCCTTTCTCCAAAAATCCATAGGGAGTGTTTCCTTTTCCTTCCTACAGGTGTTTCCTTGGATCACGCCACAGTCTCTTTTCTCTGAGTTCGTCTTTGATGACAAGTAAGGATACTCGTGAAGGAAGATTTCCCCTTAGTTCTTGACTTTTTCTTTATTTTTTTCTGATTCTTCAGTGAGATTCCCAGTTCTTCCATGATGGCGTTGAAAGAGAGACACTAAGAAACATGAGATACAGACCATCAGCTTAATCAAACCCATCTCATGTGGGTTGACCTGCCTCTTGCCTAGGTTTTTATGAACACAAGATATTGACCTGAAGGAAGCTCTGTCACAATTGGCCAGTACCCATCACCTCCTCCTCCACCCGCTGGCCACCCAACTTTTCTATTTGGGGAAACTGAGGTACAAGTTAGTTAGACAGACTTTGGGATTTCATTCACAAATACAATAGTATAAAACTCCCCAGTTAAAGAAAAATCGGGGCTCTCAAAATAGATAACTTACCTTTGCGGAGACACCAACATAGAATTAAATTAAGTCATTTCCCCCACTGAGATGATCCAAACATTGATAGGATTATCAAGGCATACGGACACTTCAGTAATGCTATAGAAAATGAACAAACCTTCTCTACACCAAGGCTTTGTTTTTTTCTCCCATGAAACCTTACTTTGTTCCTAAAATAAAATCTAATTCTTGATGACTTTCCTTTCTGATAAAAAAAAGAAAAAAAAACAATTTTAAATTGTATATTTTCTCCAAAAAACAGAGATTCTGGCAGCAGTGATGATGCAGCTGTGGTTGAAATGAAAAATAATGTGGTACTGAACTGCACAGCAAAGACAATGGCATAATACAGAAGAAAATGGAAAATGGAATTATGATTGAAAAATGTTCTTCATATACAGACAATATATATAATCTCCATTGCAATTATGCTATATCTGTTCCCATGCATAGTATATAAATGGACCAATAAAACATAATTGGCTGTCACTTTTCTAGCCAAGATAAAACCTTTGAGTGATAAATTCCTGCTCAGAGAAATTTCTATAAAGTTCTACTTAGAGAAATTTCTAAAAAGTAGTTTTCCTTTTGATGAGGTCACTCTTAAAACCTCCTCTAGTGATATAAGCCAGCATAAGAGCACAGAGGCAGATGATTCCACTTATATGAAGCATCTAAAATATTCAAAGTTGTGAAAATAGAGAGTAAAATGGTAGTTGCCAAGGGAAAGGAAAAAGGGAAATAGGGGCAGTTGTGGCTCAAATGGTCACAAACTTTCAATTCTGAGAGATAAGTCAGTTCCGTAGACCTTCCATACAACATTGTGCCTATATTTAATATCGTATTGAACACCTAAACATTTTTAAGCAGTTAGATCTCAAGTGTTCTTACCACAATAAAAAAATCCACTAGAAAACAAAGCCTTTGGTAAAGGTTATAGAACGGCAAGCATACTTTTTTAACCTTAGCACACAAAGTGGATGGTTCAAAGTCAAAAGACAATGTGCTACCAGCTGATTTGTCCAGGTTTTAACTTCCTTACAGGAAGAAATCTGTGTCCTGTGTTTGCAAAGCACTAAATATCTAATGTGGTCCTTGTGTGTCAGTGGGCAACAGGTACGTTTGAAAATGTACACTTCTTTTTGTTCAAAAAGGACTTGATGTGGTTTACAGAAGTAGTAGTTTTACATTTTTTCTACTTGATTCCAAAACCAGACCTAGAATTTAGGTTCTGGGTATAAACTATTGGCCTATGAGATGTACATCTCTTAGAAAACTGGTTCTTTGAATAAAACTTTTCATATCTTTTAAGCATATGTGTTTATAGGATTTGAATTTCACTTCCATTTTATAATACTGAAACATAAAAACTCATGTCATGGTTACTAATTTTCTTTCAAATGGTAAATTATGGCTTCCATGAATTGAGAGGGATGTCAGGCCACACACAAAAAAATCAGAAATTTTTTTATGAACTACACTTCAAAAATGTTATAGCAAGTACAGATGCTTCTCACTTACTATGGGATTGTGTCCCAGTATACACATTGTACACTGAAAATATTATTAAGGAGATATTGCATTTAATATACCTAACCTATGGTTTAGCCTAGCTTACCTTATACATGCATGGAATACTTACACTAGCCTACAGTTGGGCAAAATTATCTGTCCAGCCCATTTTATAATACAGTGTTAACTATATATAATTTCTTTATTGAATACTATACTCAAAGTAAAACACAGAATGGTTGTATGGGCACGTAAAGTGTGGTTTGTCCAAGACTGCATATTACTTCCACACCACTGTAAAGTTAAAACATTGTGAGTCAAAACATCATGTCTATGTATCATGAATGAAATATAATAATTTGTTAACATTACACCATATAAAACTTATGTGTTGCTACTAAGAGCAAATTAATATATTATAGTGTAATTGTGATACATAGTATTGTATCAGAGTTTTACAAACTTTGCTTAGAAATATATTTCAATGGAAGAAATATTTTTGGCATTAAAATGGAAGGAATGGAAGGAAGAAAGAAGACTGTCAAGAAATTTGCAAATTTTATTACATATTATACCCTTTTTATAGATGGGGAAATTTACTATTGCAGATATCGAGTAACTTACCCAAGACAAAAAGCCTACATTTGAACCCAGTATATCTGGACTGTCCAAACCCAATGCTTTCACTAGAAATCATCTACACATTGAGTCTTAATTTAAAATATTTTATCACTATGGATAACTTTTGTGAATCATTTTTCCAAAAACTATTATGTTAAGAAATTCCAATCTTTCTGCTTTACTTGAACTTGCAAGCATTTGATTTTAGGCATTTCATTTCATTTTACATTGAAATTGCCAAAATGAATCTCCTAGTGTGGCTTACACATGACACACAAGGAGGAAGGTCTCATTGAAACCTCTTTTCCCTATTTTGGGTAGAGGAGTGGTCATAGATCTTATCTAGACAATATGTTTCAATTAACTTCATGTTTTTTAAAAAGGAAATCCATCCCCAGATTTTAGACTGCGTTAAAGTACAGCAAACATCTTTACTCTTGACTAACTCCAAATATTTATTTCTTGCTGCTCATGTGAGAGCAAATATAAATATAGTTTTATCAGTGGTCTGCTTTCTTGGTCTTTGGTCGCAAACAATGATTTCTTTTTGATTCTCACTTTGTCTCTGACTGTCAAAAAGAAAACGGAAAGATATTGGGGCTGACCTTTCTGCCTCCAAGTTTTTTCTATAGTCACAAGAAAAGGTGACCTTTAAGGCCTCTCCCATACATGAGCTTGAGTAAAGCACACATTCTTGGATCTACAGGAAATGAAACTGTGAAGGTCATCTCTCAGCACAGAGTGGCTTGGGAGGGGCTCATATGCATTAATTAATTTGCCTTTTATAATCTCGGAGTTAAAGATACATATAAAGATTGAGCTTCTAAACTGGGACCAATATGACAGTAGCTTTCTAAAAGTTCTATTTGTTGGCTGGGGTTTTTCATATTCACAGAGCCATAGAAATATTATTTTAAAGCATGTTGGCTTAAATTCCTAAACCCTAATCTCATGAGAAACGATCAAACGTGATGACATTCAACTAAGTGCCTTATTCAATGTAGTGCAGGTGGAAGCGGGATACTCAGGTAGTGTTTCCCGGTACTTTGCAGACTGGAGAGCCCCCCAGTAGCCTGGATCTGGGGCCTGGATTAAAAATATGATGGAGTTCACAATTTTAATAAATCTACATGTGACTTTTAATTACAGTTTGGAATTGGTGCCTGGTATCAGAATGAGAAGTTTTAATTTCAGCTATAATTCCTACTAGCTGAGTTACACTGAGCAAGGCGTTTATTTTCTCTTGGACTCAGTTTCCTTATCTATAAAATGGGACAATAGTAAAATCCTTTTCATAGAGCTATTATGAGAATTCAATAAAATGTTATATGTAAAACAGTCCAATGGCTGGCATATTTTAAGTATGCTCTTTCTTTAACATTTTATATACCATAGTATATATTTTAACTCTATGCCACTCACTGACTTTTTTTTCATGGGAGAGATACAATGCAAAGGTTGACGCTGTTTTAATTTGAGTAACCTGATGCACGTCTGCGCAGCAATTGCTTTGAGTTGCTTGTACTAGTGTTTTAGTTAAAATAGTTCCCATACGTGTTTAAAACATAAATTTTCAGTGCCTGTTACCACTTCTTTCGCCCGGTCCATAACATGTTTCTTTGTCTGAGTAGTTACAGGCAGTATGACTGCTTGTCTTGCGCTCTATACATAGGAACTCCAAGATCAGAAGGAAATGAAAGCTAACAGCAATCCCTGGCCATTGAAAAAATTGCATCTCTGTGCTTATGAACCATCTATTAATACAATGAATCTTTACAATGATGTCTGATAGGAAAATTCATTTACAAATGAATTTATAGTAATAAAGTACATTCTTGCCGTTTATGCTGTGCCTGACACTATCCAAAAATAACGTGGAGAGTGTGTGTGTCTGTGTGTGTGTGTGTGTGAGAGAGAGAGAGAGAGAGAGAGAGAGAGAGAGAGAGAGAGACCTTTCTTTCAGAGGAAAGGAAATGGAGAAACACAAGTTAGCTTAGTAGAGATTGCAATAGAAACTTCAACTAAAACTCATGGTTTTAGAAGGAGAGAGATTTGCTTGTTTATTTCAGTTTTGCAGAAAGTTACTCCTCTTCTCTGATTCCTTGCAGCTTGTGGTGTGTCCCTGAGGAGCCCCTTTTCTTCCCTATTCTGCCTTCTTTGCTTTCTTTTATCGCCCCCTTTGGTTTATTTCTTTTTTACTTGCTGACTTCATGGCACAGCCTTTGAATTAACCTCAAATGTTTAATTTCTTGATGCTCGTGTGAGCCTGAATATAAACTATATCTTCTCTTTACAACTTTATCCTTCTGTTGCGAATTTTACCCTGGAAGGGATGAGAAGGACTAATAAAATTGTTTTTGTTTTGTACCTAAAATACCCCGCCTCATGAAAAATGATTCAGGGGAACAATTTTTTTTTTTCTTAAGTTACAGTAAAAGCTCTAGGTTAGAATTGGATTTGAATTTGTAGAATTAAAAAAAAAACCTAGACTGTTTGGAATTGGCTTTCACACTGGTTGCAAACTTGACATCAGATTGTGAATGTCAGATTGATTTCTCATTGTAGATTTAGCATTTATACATTCACTACTTTCATTCATTGGTAGGTATAGGAGGTATAGGTAAACATTTAAGAGAACTACTTTGGATGCTTACATCCTTAAGGATTTTTCTGAGGAATTATTTTTCAGACGCTCTGGCCTAGCCAATAGTACAATACAAATCTTACATTTTATATGGGTTTCTCTCTTTAATAGGCTTCTTATTCAAAGGCACTTGAAGAGCTCTGTGACACAATCTGATAAATTTTCACATTACACATGGAAGAAAAAGGATGTAGGTAATACTATTGTCATTGTAGAGATTAAAATCTTGCATTTTATGTATAGACCTACAATAACTTGAAAGCAAGCTATGATTTGAAGTATTTTTATAAATATAGTTTCAGTAAAATGTACAATATTAAAGAAATAGTTTTCTGAAAAATACTGGGATTATTGTTTTTTCTTTTTCTTTTTCTTTTTTTTTTTTTAACTTCCCAGTTTAATTTAAGGGAAGGCACTTTACTGAAGTGCTTAAACAGGAAGGAGAAATTACCAACACTGTTATTTTCTCTTGTGACAGCTTCAAGATTCAAGCTAAAGCTACCATTATCCTTTCCCTCGGTTCCTCTAAAAATACTCATCTCCCTATAGGATTCCACAGAGCTGGGAACTTTGGCTGGGATTATTGTTACCATTTTTTTTTTTTGTCTTAGTCAAATTCCTGCTGTAGTTCTGTGGAACCAGTGTCTCAATGATTATTTTTTTAAAATGAAGGACTAAGACTTCACTTCCTTAACATTTTTTTTTTAAATTTTAAGCTCTAGTATAGGAGCAAACCTATGATGGTTGAGGATACACTCAGGAAACTCTTTAAGGAATAGGAACAGAGTAATCCTATTTAGGCATTTGCTAAGTAGAGACTTGTGCAGTCTGGTTTCATTCCTTTCCAAGATACTTAATGACCTAAGAGCAGAGTTCAGGCTTTCATCATCTCCCACTATTATGCGAAGGCAGTTGGAGGGAGGTGTTTGGAGTAGTTTTGTGTACACCATTCTTGTGGGAAGATTTTGCAATCCAGAACTGAGGATTTGGGCACAATTTCCTATGGTTTGATCTATTTTCTGGGCTCATTCACAACTTGTGGACCATCTTTTATGCACCTATCCTTGGAATTTAAAAAAAGTGAATCCTAGAGGTTGAGTGTTGATCACTATATTAGCTTCCAGAATAGTGGTTATGTTACTTCGTGCCTAAGAGCTAATGAGAAAGCTGATTCTCCTTTCTTGGGCCTGTGAAAAGAATTTTGGGGCAAAGGAAATCTAGACACTGAAGTAAAACTTCCAAGTGTGGTCTCCCATCCTAATCCCTGCTCATAACCCAGCAGCCATGTCTTGCCTGGCCCATTTTCTTGCCCCTTTAATGCTTTAAACTGGTCCCTGCTAGGAAATCAGTCTCGAAAGCCTGTCTTCCCTTCCCTTGGCTATAGCATGTAGACTTCATGAACTCCTTTTCCCTGTGTCTGTTAATGTCATGCTTTCATTACCTCCATGTTTTCTCTTCTGCTCTGTTTCATCTTTGTTCCCACACCTGGGACCAGATGCCAACACCTTTACCATCTCACATCTTAGGTTTAAGTTTCTCTGTTTGCACGAATGCATGCCCTAGAATTCCTTGTTCTCCTATCTGAGCTCCTCAAACCGTAAAAATATATTGACGAGGGACACAGAGTTTCTCCACGACGTTAGATACATAAGTGTTCCTCCTGTTGTTCATCTTTAAAGATTTCATTTAGAAACCCTATTCTCTCAATAAAATAAATACTATATTGTGAAATGGCATGCATAATCCCTATAGATTCTGGGGTACACGTGCAGAATGTGCTGGTTTGTTACATAGCTATACACGTGCCATGGCGGTTCTTAAAAAGTTTTGCACACGGGGTGTCACCTGGGGCTATCCACTGCAAATTCCTGACAAGTAGGGGGTGTGTAAGTTCATCCTCCTATAACATTAGGGATAAAGTCATGGAAAACTTTGAAAAGTGGGGTTAACATTGAGGCAATGAAATATTTTGATATTCATCTGTGTGCTTTTTTCCAATTCTTCTGAATCCCAGACCTTATTCTCACTTTTCAAGTTATAGCAAGGGCTTTTATATGCATTACCTTCAGGATAGGGATGATGTAGAAAGAAAAAAGACTCAAATTTGGAGCTTTGAGCTTTTAAATGGACTTTTGTGAATCTATAGAAGACGCAGCATCTTTGAAGCTATTAATTACAACAGTCAGGTGTTTGAAACAAGGAAAACGCAGACACTTTGAATTGTAAAAGTTTGACGTTAAATATCAAATATCCTGAGCCTTCAGGACTTGGCCTATAGACTGAGGATGGAATGTAAAGAAAGGGCTGTCTGCAGCTGCTCTCAAGGAGAAAAGTTCAACCAGGTGATGTGAGAATCTTGACCAGAGTCTAGATGCTGAGGGAGACATGAGGAGGGACACCTCCTCTGCCTTCTCCGGGGCAAACTCCCATGTGGTGGGATAAGAAAGGCAGCCTGATAGGCATGGGGACCTGGGAATACAGGGTAATCACAGCCCAGTCTCTGTCTCAGGCTCTTGGACGAGGCAGTTAATGGAGCAGAGAAGTGTCAGCAGGGTACGCCATCAGGCCAACCTGACACTGTCCTGAGACTCCCATGGCCTCCCAAGGATGCGCCAGAGCAGCTAAAACATTTTCCTGCCCTAGAAAGGACACACAAATGGCTGACAGTATAAAACGGAGCATAAAACGTGGCCCACCCAGTGCCATAACCAAGAGCAGAGAGAGAGTCCTACAGTGAGAAGCTTCCAGTGGGCCTTGTATACCTGGAAATAAACAACTCTCCTTGCTAAAAGTGGCAGGAATGTGGGTTTGTGCTTCCAACCAAACTACACGGTGCAGTTCTCCTCTCTAGAGTCACTGTCAGAGGCCAATGTGGCTTTGTGCCTTGGCCCTCTGGTCTTACTCTGGCTTCCTGCACTGAAGACCTGAGAGGATTCTGTGTGGGTTGACTTTCCCTCACCTCTTAGTGAGGGCTTGGTCTTTTTTTTTTTTTTTCCTTTTTCTCATTTCAGAGGCTAAATTAGGGCCATAAAATAAACTTCCAAGAAATTCTTTGCATGCCCTTTCTCTACAGGGAAATGGCCCTGCCTTTCAGCTAAACTGCCTGTGATGTTGGGTGTTAGTTGTCCACAGTGCACGTATGCACTACATACAGAGTTTTCAGGGTACCAGATTATGCCCGTGGTAGTGGGAATGCATTTTTCTCAAGCTACAAGCTTGGATATGCAAACAAATTATGTGATACTACTTAAAAAAAAAAAACAGAATTCACCTTAGCTTAGAGGTTCCCCTTTTGCTAGTGGGTCTTATCAACTCAAGACAATTCACTTTTGGTTTAAAATGCTTTCTTTTGGTTAATGTCTCTGTTAATGCAAACCTCCCCCTACCTTCGTTCTCTCTTTTCTTTTTTCCTAGGGTCATCTGGGATAAAAAGAGGTGTCTAGAGGGCCCAGGATCAGCTAGTCCAAGGCTACCCTCTGTCCTTTTGGCTTCCATGGGATGTGACATCCTACTAGGTCGTGAACACTGATCACTATTTCTGCTGTGCCCTCTCAGATGACCATGGTCGCCATGTCGCATCCACACACTCTGTCTTTTCTGCTCTAATACCAAGTCTTCCAGTGCACTGGTTCTCTTAGCCCTTCTACATGCCTCTTGGCTGAGAAGAGCCATGAATGTTTGGCTATTTTCCCTGGCATTCTCTGAGATTGAGGAAGATTCTATGAAGCATTCCATAGCTTCACTGCCCACATGTTATTCTGCCTTTCAGGAGACTGTTGGATATAAAATATCTCTACAGGTCTTACCACCTCCTGGACCTTGACCCTGTGAAGGAAAAAAATGGCATTTTCTTTCCAGGATTCCCTTTTAAGTTTTCTGTGGTTTCTATTCTCCTGCATCCTCCCAAGTGTGAACTTGGTTCAGAGACGGTCATTGGCTGAGGAATAGCCTCCTCTCATAGATTAAGGTAGTATCTAACCTTTGTGACTTTCCTCCAATTCTCTCTTTCCTAGTGGTCAGAATCTGTTCATGGTAGGAAAGTAAGGTATTAAAACATCATCATGTCAATTTCTCCAATGTTAGCCTTTTGGGTTTTGGCTCTTGCCAATTATAGATAAATTTTTTGAATTACAACAACTTACATATTCAATGAAACATCTGGATCTTGCAATTAAAAACTATGGTTTTCAAGACCTTCCTCTGTGCCACAAATCTGCAAGGACTACTTAACATCTCAAAAGCTAAGAGTTTAACTCATTTCAGTTTGGGAGCAATTCATATAAAATTCCCATAGTTGATGGTAGAAAGAAGGGTAGGGATAAAACCAGTAGAATATAAATGCATGCTGTCCTCTTTCTTTATTTCTCCTTGTTTGTTTTTAGAAGAAATACTAAGTTACTTGCAGAATAGAGTCTTCCTATGTGGTCCCGTCCCATTTGTCATCCTCTTTTGTGATTTGTGAATGTGTATTCATTTCTACAGCTTCAAATGGCTTCGTAGGTACCTGTCTCCTTTTTGTTTTATTTTACCTGGTCTGCAGGCTCATCAAGGTCAAGAACTATTCTACTTCTGTAAACTTCACTGTGTCTGTAATGATTTGCTTATGATTCATTGGATGGGAACCTTCTTGCTTCTTGACGTCGTGATGGCTCATGGGGCCATTTTCTCTATATCCAAGACAGGACTTTCTGCCTTGAAGTACTGGCAGGGCATAGTCATTCTGACATAAATAAGAACTTCATGTGTCCAAGAGAGAGACATAACCATATGAAGAAATATAGAAACAAAAATCTCTTTTTATCACTGCTTCCGTGGTTTTATTTCCTTCCCATTTTTCTGCCAGATTCAAACAATATTGCGGTTGGAAGAGAACTTCAAATACGATCTCCTCATTCCACAGATGAAGAAACTGAGGTTGAGGGAAGGAAAATGACTTGCCCAAAGACACATGGCCCTTTAGCACCAGTGTGGAGCCCTGAGTTCTTGGCATGTGATTCCGAAGTCACCTGTCTAGGGGTCATGCCCATCGTTCAGAGTTTGCTTTGTTGATAGACAGCATAACTTGTACATTAGAAACGTTATTTCTATGCTGATGTTAATTGCATCCTGGCTTTTCTAATAATTAATTAATATTTGAGTTTCCAGGCAAAGGAAACCTCTTCACACGATTACAAAAATAACCTAATTAAAGAGACTTTCGGAAATCACTTGCTAAATAAATTGATCAGACTACAGGAGAGGTAGAACTGAAGATGCTTGGAAGCATCTGATAATGGTGCCAAAGAACACTGAGGAAAGATAAATACCAAGGTGGAGTGGGCTATCAAAAGACAGTAATTTCTCAGTTCTTGTGGCTGGTCAAGACAAACTGATTAGGACCACTTTCGTGTTTGAGATTGAAAAATCAGAATATTTGAATATTTTAGGTCTAAATCCTCCATTCAGTTGAAAAACTGGGGAGAAAGCAATTCTGGTCAAGTTAAATTAAAATATTTTAGTTGCTAGAGGGAATACAGTGACTTCATTCCCTCATCCAGGTCTTACTCATTTTTGTGTCTATCTGGATGTACACATTGCAACATGGACACATATTGTTGTGTACTTTGGGCCATTGGCCGTATTTGGGCTGACAACAATAAAGGTCACATTCTCTAGGGTTTCACATTCACACGCTGCATTTGTAATGTTGTCTTTCTATCACAAGAATGCTTATATCTTTGCAAATAGGAATTCTTTGAAAATTTAAGGTAGAACCCCATTCTCTGTAATACCGGCCTCTGTAGGGAGAATTTTGAAAGCAAAAATGTTTTTAATATGCTTGCGCATATGGACATAAAATTCCATAACTGTGAGAAGTATAATGAGATGGTTCCTAAAGGCTAGTTAAAACTGCAGCATCGAGCAGAATTTCTTTTTTTAATAATCTACAAGAGTTAATTAATAATGCCATTTGGCACTGTTAGATGTTCAGCAAATAGTCTAATAAGTAAGAATCCTTTGCTTTCCTTTTGTTGTTAAAGGCTGTTCAGACACTTTCTAAACTGCTTACTAGGAAATAGACCTTGAGGTGAAAGGGTCATGTGCTTGCAGACTAATTGGGATTCATTATAGTACTGCATTGCTACAGATGGCTCATACAGAATATAATATAATGCTAGTCAAATGCAGTGAGGTATTTGGAAATAATTTCTCTTGGATAGGTTTATAATCATATGATTGAGCTGATTTTTCCAATGGCAAGATTCCTACCCATGATGTATTCCTTAAATAGTTCTAATTTTGCTAGAAAAACTCTGTAAAATAATTTAATTTATAATTTTAGTCTAAAATAAATAGAAAGCTTAATTTTTTCCCCTTATATCATTAGGTTTGAGGCAAATTTATTAGGAAACAAATCAGACCACACTATGTTTCATTGCTGTCGATACATTTGTTCAATCTTGTTTGTTTGTTTATTGATTGATTTACAGAGATGAGGGCCCACCATGTTGTTCAGGCTGGTCTTGAACTCCTGAGCTTACAAGTGTGAGCCACCACTCCTGGCCACTTGTTCAAACTTTTAATCCCTCTGTGCTCTCTCCTAAGCTTAAACAATATTTTCCAAAGTATAATCTGTAGACAACCTGTTATTATTTAACAATAACTCATGCTCAACAGTTAATCTGAAATTAAACTAGTAAAACTGCTATATTCAAGCTAGTTTTAATAGAAATTCCTGTTTACTATCTACTTTTAAATAATGCAACTATAGTCAGGATTGTTGGAAAAGAATATGTAAGAAAAGCTATTTTATAAAAACCCAAACCCCTGTATTGGAGATCCTTTTAAGAAAGAGTCATGTACGTGACTTAATTTGGGAAAAAACTGCTATGTTCTAGCTAATTTTTATGAAAACTAATGTATATAATAGTTTTGGCATTCACTTTCAAGCTTCATTGTAAATGCAGCTTCCTGGACTCTTCCTACTAAGGAGAAATGTCTGGGGTAGAGCCTGTAAATGGTAGTTTGGAAAACTTCCCTCAGTGGTTCTGATTTACACCAAAGTATGAGAACTAATGATGTAAACATAAAGCTTGAAAGGTGTTTTTCTTTTTCACACTTAAGTCTTTTGTTCCATAGTTCACTTGAAATGCAGTGGTTCCTAGTAGGGTCACTGTGATCTTAGCATCCATTGACACGATGGCAAGAACTGGTTGAGAACCAGTATAAAAGGAGAAAGAGAAGAATGTGGGCTGGGAACAGAGGCTCATGCCTGTAATCCCAGCACTTTGGGAGGCCGAGGTGGGCAGATCACTTGAGGTCAGGAGTTCGAGACCAGCCTGGCCAACATGGTGAAACCCCCATCTCTACGTCTCTACTAAAAATACAAAAATTAGCCTGACATGGTGGTGCACATATGTAATCCCAGCTATTCGGGAGGCTGAGGCAGGAGAATTGCTTGAACCCAGGAGGCAGAGGTTGCAGTGAGCCAAGATGGCGCCATGGCACTCTAGTGTGGGTGACAGAGAAAGACTCCATCTCAAAAAAAGAGAGAGAGAGAAGAGTGTGAAGAAACAAAGTACTTGAGATGAATGAAGGTTTCTCCAGAGAGGAAAAGGCACAGAGAGAGCAATAAACTGTCTACTTGATAATTCTGAGTTGGTCTAGTTCTATAGTTTTACAACTAATCATAAAGATTATCAATTGAATATCATAAAATTTCCATCTTAAAGATGTGCATTTTTCCCTGAATTCTCAGAGGATAGGCTCTATCAGATTGAATGCCAAACATGTGTTATATATATTGCATAGAATTAGTGGCTCTACCTCTGCAATCAATCAAGCAATCAACAGCAATCATCTATTGAGTTCTAATTACATACATAAGATTATACTTTAGCTTATTGGTTTGCACCTCTTCCAGCACATTAAAATCAACTGGGCATCTGAAAAAATTACCATTGTCATGCCACAATACTAGACAATTAAATTAGAATTTCTAGAGCCGAGGTCCAGAACTTCCAATATAGATCTTCAAATAATACCAATTTGGGTCTTTCTTCTGAGTGCAATGACCTCTGCCATTAATTTATAAGGCTTCTACCAGAAAAAACTGCTCTTAGAGTTTGAGCCTCTAAATTAGAAAATGAATTTTTAAAACTAGATTGCAATTTAAGATGCTTGATAAATTTTAGTTACTGCCCATGTGACCAGAGCAATACTTAGTTTCTCCAGAAGGTACCAACAGTTCTTAACTGATCTATATTAATATAATATAATAATAATATTAATAAGCTCATTTTCTATGCCATGATTTCATTTAATTGTCATAGTAATTGTATAAAGGCCATATTACCTTCATTTTACAAGTAAGAAATTTGAGGCTTAGAAGTTTACTCCAAAGTATACACAATTATTTATTGAGTGCTACTATGTGTCAAGCGCAATGCAAGATGTTTTGTACACTCTTACGGGATGAGATTCACATGATCATGCCTGTGTTCCCTTGAGGATGATCTGTGGAACCCTGTTCTGTCAAGATGTTGTGGGGGAAAAAATCTGCAATCTAATTGGCTTGAGAAGCGCTGAATACTTTCTGCTTTGTTGAAAATTCTCAATGAATGAAAACTTGTGAAGCACACTGAGATAGCATGTAGTAAAGGAACACTTAGAGTGACGCTCCATGGGTTACTTAACTATAAAAATTTTATTTGAGAAACATTTGCCAATTTAACCCATTTTGAAAAACACCTGTACAAAACTTTATATTCTAGAAATTTTGTCCCACTGTTATATTTTAGGAAATCAAGACTGAGAAATTTGGTAACCTGCATACAGTTATTCAGTGTGTGGCTCTTGATTCAACTGGAACTTGAATCTAAGTTTGGCTGTTTTAGAATATTTTCTTCTGCTTCTAAAATCTATAACTGCAGGCCAATGACTGATAGTAAAGCTAAATTTAAATTGTTGAAAAGATCAAATGTAATGTTACATGTGAAAACATTTTGAAAACTATAAAATACTATAGAAGTATCAGAATTAGGTACTATACAATCTAAAGTGGTATACAAATATTAATTTTTGAAAGAGACAATTTCTTTACTCAAATCTCTGAATTACACTTTTAAATAATAGTCTCTGCAGGAAGTTAAGTTTTGTCTGTTATTATTAATTCTGATGGTCTATCTTTCATCAATCACATTTGAACTCTTTTGGTAGCATTTTTGGTTTATTAAATTGTCTTTGGAAAAGTAAACTTACAAAATTTGTGGTTTCTAGATACTGAATCCATGAAATATGAAGCTAAGAATAATGTCATATTCATCCCAACATCTGATTCTTTTGATTATGAAAATGCGAACTCTGACTTGGGACAAATAATATGTTGCTTCTAGTTTAGTAACAACAAAACATTGTTAGTATAATTTATGATATTTTCTTCTGAGTACAGTTCTTTAAAGAAGGAAGCAAGGCTGAGAAACAATCAGGACAAAAGTCAACTTTCCTGAATATGCTTTACTAAAGAAGTACACAATTGATTGGAAAGGTCTGTGGTTTCCAAAATTCAGAGCCATTTAAAGCTAAGCAAAGAGATGGTAAAATGCTATATGATTGCACAGATGGCCTATTTCTACTTCAAGGAATGGGCTTTAGGGGATCGCTTGATGTGTCAAAAGGTAATCCCATTAAGAAAAGAATAAAGACCAACTGATCCCATATTGAGAAAAGATGAAGCACATCTTCAATTTTCCTATTCACTCGGGAGGGAAAATGAGCCTAGAGAAATCATCAGATATTCTCTGTCACAATAAATTAAATGTGCAATCAGGTTTTTTTCACATCGCCAGGTTGAGTTAGCATGGGAATTATGTACAGCACTTTGAATCCAGATGGAAAATAAATCTACAGAGATCTGTAACTAATGTCTATGGACATTCTTTCCTTTATTTTTTCCCCTCTTTCTGTTTTCCCCAGAATACTTTGATAATGGAATAAATTAATAATGGTGATGGATGCAAAGAAACAACTGTGAAAGTGGTGATGTTCAGGGAAGATTGCTCCAAGAACAACCACTCTATCTTGGGTTAGTGGGAAGGAAGTGAAGTAACATCTTGTGGAAAGATGCTCATCAATGCAAAGAGAGGGAGCAAGTGAGTGGTAAATAGAAGATGCTATGAATTAGTACATAGCTTAGGACTTTACTGGGATCTTTGAAGAAATACTATATAGCCTGAAAAATATCACTATTCCTTAAGACTCAGAACCTACAGAAGACTATTAAACTCTACAAGTCAATGTTATTTAAGAGTTTGAGGTTAATGAATTTCTGCCCGGGAATTATTCTTGACTGTGTTCTGTTTCCAAGAGTGGTGTTCAACTTAGGTAGTGCTGTTCTGTGACACCAGAGGTTTCAAGTTTAGTTTTCTTTCTGTGGATTGTGGTTTTTGAATCCCTAAACTCTAAGACACTTTTGAGTCTTTGGGTAAATAATACATTTTACATTGTGACACGAATTTGAATTAAAAAATTAACATTGTTATGGAGTTATATATGTATTGTTGAAAAGGTAAGAGTTTCAGGTGGCTTGAAAATATGCAGATCTACACAATGTATGGGACAGGGAGAAAGAAAGAGGAGGGAACAAAGTTCACAATGATGAAAAGAAGTCCGCAGAATTTGCATTTTGTTTTCATGCTTTGCACTGTTGAAAGTCTAAATTTCCTTTTTCATGAAGAAAGAGTTACTTATTTCTAATGCATGAAGATGGAACAAAGATGACTAGTTGGGACAGAGACAATTCCTGTAAATACACATTTCTAGAAGTCTGTATACCCCTAATATGCCCCTGCTTCAACATACAGTGCAAGTCTCTTTCTGGCGCATTCAATTCAATGTCTAGAACACGAGTTTTGCTATCCTAAAGGAATAGAGAATTGTGGCTATTATGCTTAGCGAATACAAATATCAATAACACCAATTAGCAGAAACAATTTCTACTGGGCACACCTTTTTTTTTTTTAACTGATTACACAGTATGAACTGAGGACTGTTTCCGAATCCCTCTCTCCTCTCGAATTAATTTGCCACATTCTAAATCCGTAGATAAAGTGGTTCCAGAAGTGGAGTTGGTTGGATGGGTTTGCTTACATTGCAGTCCATAAAAGAAACAAAAAGCCTTGCATGCAAAAGAAATGAGAAAAAAATATAGGAAAATGAATAAATCAGAAGCAAGAATGAATGTTTAAATGAAATTTAAATCACATGAAGCTGGCAACTATGAAAAGCACATTAAAGCATCATATATACAGGTTTTTATTTTTTAAATTAGTTGCATAAAACAAGACACCTCAAGAGCAAATTGAAAGTTAAAGCAGATCAGTTCATTCTCCCTTTTAATTAAAAAAACAGCTTCTTATAGCAGAGCTTAAGAAAGGGATGTTCATTGTTGTCAGAGTTACCTTGTAATTCTGGGGAATATTTTCATGTGAAACCAGGGTATAATGAATCATCCCCAGTTTTGGACATTTAAGAAGGGCTTCCACTTAAAGAAAGTGGATCTATTAATCAGCACCAGCCACATAATTTGCAGTATCCAGTGCAAAAAGAAAATGTGGGACACTTTGTTCAAAACTTATTTAGAATTTCAAGATGACAGCAGAGCATTAAACTGGCTCTATTATTAATAGTCATACTCTTAAAATTCTAACAATATTTAAACATTGAATGGGGAGCTTGATTCACTATCATGGCCATAAGCTTTGTATTTTGTTTATTCTAGTATGGTTGTGAAGGAATTATCTTAAATCACAATCAGCTTTTCAGAAGAGTGTAAGTTGATTTCTTTCAAAAAGGGTGTGATTTTCTTCAAAAACAAAAGTAATAGGCAAAAATGTCAACTACTAAAATTGTCCTATAATCTCAAACACAATTTAGAAAAATAAAATATACATTGGATTTTCATTTTATATTGTTTACTATATTCCTGGCAAAAAAAATTGGAGTGAACTATCCTTTTACAAATCTTACTTTGACACAAATAAGTGTTCAATTTCATAATACAACTTTTACCTATTTATATAAATTGTTTTGCATTAGCACATGTGCTCAGAATCTATACTTAAGCGTTGGAAGCATTTCTTTTAAATATCTTTTTATATCTTTTCCAATTTTGTATTTATTTTTGCCTATTTCCATCTAGGGTTTCTATCTTACGAGCAAACAACTGTTCAAAAATTAACTGAGTTTGGAATTTCTGCACTGTCATTCCAAATAGTGCTAATTGGATTTAGTGTATAAGGCCCTTCCTCGTCATTAATAAATGATTGACCTGCAGTGCCCACAGCACCTGGCAGGGATTCAACAGCTCTTTGCTCTAACTCAAAAATGGCTCTTCTGGCATCTAATTCAATAGACTGTTACAAAAACGAGCAAACATCCTTAGAACCCCCAAACTTAAGACAGACAATGCAAACTATGAGCTACTCAGTCCTAGAGAAAGATGACTCACCTGTTCAATATCATTATTCTTCCGTGATTTGTATATGAATTCTCCAATAGCTACAAATACAGAAAGGACCAGTCCGGCAGCCAGAACAATGAAGATACCCCCAATATTTTCCACTCCCAGAGCACTGGCTTCTTTGTTATCTTCCTCGGGGCAGCCATTCCCACGCCACCACTTCTCTTTCATCATATGCAGCTTCCCTTCTTCTTGGAGTTGAAGTATAGCAATAGTAATTTTATCCCGGTAAGGAGAGCCTGGAAGTAAAGTCATTTGGATATTGGTTATCAAAATGTTGAAGAAGACATCAAGAAGTATTCTTAGTTATCATCTTGGTGATAACTATATTATGGCAGTTGTAAAACCCCGATCCACACATTGACTTGCAAAGGGCAGGAAAGTTCAATTCTATATTTTGAAGGCGCTAAATAATTGGAAAGGAGATAGCTGACATGTTGAGATTAACATTGGCCCTGACTGTTTGCTCCTTTTAAATAAGAAGTGAAGCTAGGAATTCTACAACATGTTTTGTTTCGGGTGAGATAATCATGAGTCTTTTTCGTGTCAAGAGATTTCATTGTATAAACTAAAAATAAAATTCTAAGCTCCCATTGACTGAATGACCCTCTTTTGTGACCAAAGCGCCCCAGAAAAACCTTAAAAACTTAGTTTGTAGCTATACCAGGATGGCAGGTCAGACAGAACAGTCTGTTAGTGGCAATAAGATACCAAATTATAAACAGGATCAAAGGCCATGCCAGACAAGGGTTAAGTCACCCAGCCTTGCGCTTAAATAATAACCTATATTCCGGCCGGGTGCGGTGGCTCACGCCTGTAATCCCAGCACTTTGGGAGGCCAAGGCGGGCGGATCACGAGGTCAAGAGATCGAGGCCATCCTGGCCATGGTGAAACCCCGTCTCTACTAAAAATACGAAAATTAGCTGGGCGTGGTGGCACGTGCCTGTGGTCCCAGCTACTTGGCAGGCTGAGGCGGAAGAATCGCTTGAACCCAGGTGGACGTTGCAGTGAGCCGAGATTGCGCCACTGCACTCCAGCCTGGCGACAGAGTGAGACTCCATCTCAAAAAAAAAAAAAGAATAACCTACATTTTAACTGCCACGAGGCTTTTCTTTTTCTCAAGGAGGCAAACAAGCACTGGCCTCGAGATGAGCAATATTAAAACAATTACAGCTCACCCACCTCACAGACACTGACTCCCTACCCCTGTTCTATCAGCTATACCTTTCATCAAACAAGATCCTGATTTCAGTAACTTTCTCCAGATAAGAAGACCACCGACCTTAGACTGGTTCTGGTTGGATTAAAGAGATTGTGCTCTTGCATGCCCTTGTGTCCTGAAAGATATTTTGACGTATAGAACCTAATTATAATACATTTAAATGTTAAGCTCCACCTTAAAGGGAGCATGGATTGTATATTACATGCATTTTTGTCAAGTATGCATGTGTCAGGATCATCTTTATGAACATTCACAGCTCCTTCTGTAACCAGTTGAATATATATATTTAGCCAACCTATTCAGTATAACACTCTTGCCCCAACCCTCCTTTCTTCCAAGTGCCTGTCTTTGATTTTGGTTGGATACATTTTTGTCAACCTACGGGATGACCACCTTGCAGCTTGTCACGCTTTACTTATTAAGAAATGAAGCCACCTTTTCTACTTTCCAAATTTGTAGATATTGTGGATACATTTTTTAAGTTAACAATTATTTAGATCTTACTTTTTCCTAGGTCTTTGTTGTCTCATTTTGTGACTGAGCTTGGCTGGATGACCAGCAGTGGTGTTTCTTCTTCTGAGGGGAGTAACTAGACATTACCCACTCTCCCTTACAGTTAGGTGTGGTTATGTGACTGGTTTCTAGCCAATGGGAACTAAGGCGATGTATTTCCAACATGATCTTTGGTTCTCTCTCTTTTTCAAAATATATAGCAAGAAGGAAAGGATTTCAAGTCTCTAGGAATCATGGAACCAAAAAATAGAAGGAACTTGAGTCTCAGGATGATTTCATGAAGCACAGCCTCTCTTTTAGTCCACAGTGGACTGTGACAATGTCAAGAAATTAACATTTAATATGTAAGCCACTGAAAATTTGCAGATATTGGTTAGTATATATTGACTGATGCACTATTAAGATAAACTTAAGAGTAGGTTTTGAATAATTCAAATGTCCTACAAAGTTCAGTTAGGTTTGGAAAATTTGCAAGGACTTTATTGATATTATTTGTTCTCTATCTTCTAGTAATGCCATTGAACTTTTAATTATGTAAGGGGTAGAAAGGGCCAACATCTATCTGTAGATATAGATTCCCAATACTGGATTTTGGTCAATCAATGCAAAGGAAGAGACCAAGTAATATTTTTTTACTTAATCTCTCCTTGAATGTGAAGAACTCTTGTTAGCATTTTTTCTACTCAGTAGAAAAGTAGTATACCCTGGCTTTCTCTATTTGCAAACTTTAAAATCTTTCTTGGTGGAAGCACATTGACAAATGAGGCAGCTTAGGACTAGAAGAAATCTTACGAATAATACAGTCCAGTCTACTTACACTTCAGTACACATTCCATTTTAGAGTGGAAGAAACTTAGGACCTGAAAGTATGAGTGAAACTGATAGTTGCTGGCACAGCCAAGAATCAAACTCAAGTCTCCTGACTTCTTACTTCTCAGTGTTATTTTCATGACAGTTTCCCCTACCATTGCTCCCACCCCTACATATGCCTTATGTCTTATGGCATGGTTTAAGTTAGAAAAACAGAAGGTTCACGTTTGTGTTATTTGTTATCAATTGTCCTCATGAGACTTTCTAAAATAATTGTCAGTATTCAAAAGCAAGTTTAAAAGAAGAGCAAAATGTTTTGGAATGAGATTATGGCTTGTCAGTTAAGAGTATAAGTTTTTGGTGAAAAAAATGGGTATTGAAAGCTAAATTAAAATATATTGGCTGTTTGCTTTAATATCCATAGAATAATGGCTAATGTAAAAATTAGCACCATTAATATACCCATAGCAGGTGAGCAATTAAGTGAACTAGGAGCACTTTGCTTTAATGTACATGAAAGTGCTTTGAAGAGTATAAGAATGATTCTTATGTTAGCGGTTGCAGTAATAACCCTAGCAGCATACACAGTGGGTGCTCAGTAAATGTTGACTGATGCTTTCCTTCTGCCTCCAGGCTGCGCAATACCTAAAACGTTTCAGACAGATGGAAATCTGATCTCTGTTTAAAGTCGGTCTCTGAGAAAGATAATTTCCAGCCTCCCGGTAACCTGTTCAAACCTTAAATGTTCTTGTTCTCTCAGAGGGTTTTTTTTTTTTTTTTTTTTTTTGAGACAGAGTCTTGTTCTGTCACCAGGCATCAGGCTGGAGTTCAGTGGTACAATTTTGGCTCACTGCAACCTCCGCCTTCCAGGTTCAAGCAGTTCTCCTGCCTCAGCCTCCCAAGTAGCTGGGACTACAGGTGCGTGCCACCGTGCCCAACTAATTTTTGTATTTTTTTAGTAGAGACGGAGTTCCACTATGTTGGCCAGTATGGTCTCGATCTCTTGACCTCATGATCTGTCTGCCTCCCAAAGTGCTGGGATTACAGCTGTGAGCCACCGTGCCCGGCCTCAGAGTTTTATTTTAAATCTCTCAGGAGGTAAGTTTCCAGAGCTTTTGTCCTGAGTATCTCTAAGAGGCAAAGTCTTCAATTTTGTGTTGTGACTTTGCCAATCTTTGACTGTGGGACAGGGTTTGGAACCATAAGGGATTTAGTCAGGACAAGACTGGAAGTGTGCAGAGAATTTTTAATATCTGAATATATATTAACTCAAGTTTTTGTTGTTGTTGCTTAACTGAACTAAAAGACATTGGAAGTTATTTATTATGTCACTTGAAATATATACATACATATATATATATATATTTCACACATCTTCTTGAATAGCAACTGATCTTTTGTAAAGAGTCAATTCATCATAAAAGAAGCATCTCACAAATTTTTCCAACAGCTGTACTCTCAATGGATGTATTCTCTGTGAGGTCTGCCATCTGTTCCAATTATTCCTTCTTTGTTTTTGGTTTAAAAGGATGACAGGTTTATAACCACTATGAAAAATTCCTGGAGTATATTTCTTTTCATCTAGGAAGTGGGGAAGGCTTTTCAACTTTGGAACTTGGGTGAGGTTGGCCAAAAGGAGACTGAATGGGTACCTTTGGATCTCTCTGTATTACATACATATAAAATACATATTTAATGTTAGTGGTACTCATCACTAGGTCAGCTTCATTCACATGAAAGCAGGCAGTGATTTTCAAAGTGCTACATTCATTTAGGAAAGTGGTAGGAAGAAGTGCATTGTTCCCTCCTGTCTCCCAGCCCTGCGTCACTCACTGTACTATCAGATATTTTAGCTTTCAAGTTATATTCCATGCTGTAAAGTGGACGCTAATTAAAAGTCTCATGTTAAAGTGCAAACGTTCTCAGGAAGGGTGATACACATTGTTATTTTAAATCATTATTACTAGACAGGAATTTTGGTACCAAAAAGGAGTGTTGAAATATGGTGGAGTAGGGTTATGAGGTGGGAGATAGAATGATAAAAGTACAATTTTTGACTTTATAGTTTAGAGATAGTTCTATTAAGGAACTACAGTTACTCCTCTACGAGGGTCTTGATTCTGCAAAAATTCAGGCAAAAGTACCTACTCTTGGTGTTCTTGTCTGATTTATGGCCCATTAAAATCAGCAGTGATGAGATATAAAAAATAGCATCTAACTTCCCTCACCTTTATTATCAAAAATGAGGTGGCAAACCTTGGTCAGGAAAATAGGATGTTGTTTTTAAGTAAAAAAAAAAAGGCATAATATCCTGTAAGCCAGTGCAAAATGATCCCCTGAGCCTCCTACAAAACATGTTGACTAAGTTATAGGAGAGCTCACCACTTGGGGAAAAATATACACCTCACTAGCAATATTAGTATTTTCATGAGGAAATGTTATCGGAAATAAAGAAGCAGGAAGGTAGCTATAAATCTTCTAGCCCAATCATTTTGCAGAAAATTTATTTAGAGGACATAATAATAAAGCTAACCATAGCACATATTTCTAATATCAGGCAGATAGCAGAAAGTCAAATTAGCTGTGTATTCATGGTAAATGTAGAAGATAGTTGAACTTTATCTGATTAGTTATATTCATATTAATTAAAAGTTGAATATATGAAGTACAGTTTTTTCTTTTTTAATGAATTTGTTGCTAAATAAAAACATTAGGGGAGTTCACTTGAAATCTAGATTTTTTTTTCTTGGAAAATGAAATATTCCACAATCTTTTTCTTAAACTCTTACATGTCTACAACTATCTGACCTGAAAGGCAGCTGTCTCCTTTAGGTAAGTCATGTGATCTGTAATTTTCTATAGTTGCTACTGTTCCTTACTACCTCCTGGCACAAGCATGCTTTGCTCACTTATATCTGCTTGGCCTCTGTAAACATTTCGGCTTGTGATCCCTGCCTGATGTGGAAAGTCAAATCTGATCATCCCGTTCGAACGACAAAGATACTAACACAAATCAAATCTACCTCAGGTCCTTAATGCTCTGGCTTGACTGTTAGCTGTGACTTCTGGACCAGCCCAGCAGTCTAGAGAGTCCCCGATTCCTCTCCTTTGGAATGCTTATTAACAAATTACCAATGGCTCACTTGAGAAAAGCAGGTTCCCACTATACCAGAACCTTATATGATACCATTTTCTATAGCGAGGGAAACAGTAGACAGGGAGTTTCCTATGGAGAGGAAATCACTAATTACCCATTGAATTCTACTCATGTCTCTTATAGACATACAAGAATTCATTGCTATATGGGTCCATATACCTAGGGAGTAATATTCCTAGGAGAGCGGTGACATGGAACTAAGGAATTTGGAGGTTTTACATAGTTGTCATTGATTGCATTGCCTCAGCAGATTATACTAATAGTTTGATCTTTATCCTTTTGCTTTTGACTGATATAGCCCTCCTTTTTCATCTGTCCTTATGGAACCCTAGTCCTCTACCTTTTGCTATCCATATGCAGAATCAACTTTCTTCTAATTTAAGGCAGATACGTTACATAGGCATATATGGGTATTGAAGGAAACAATGTGAAGAGGATTAGTTAGAAACATATTCTGTTTAAGATATTTGGGGGTGAAATAATAAAATCTATATACTCTAAAATATACATTGGTAAAACTTGAAAGAAACATTAGTTAAAGTATATTAAGTTAAATATCAGGGAATCTGTAATTCAGACTATGTCTCTGATCAAGTTGGATATTTCTACTGTTCACTAAAGGCATTGTAGGCCTTCTCAGAATTTGGAATAAAGAACTCTGAGCCCATTTCCTTCCACACTAGTAACTGACATTCTCTGTCTCAGTCTTGGTTCACGTCTGCCCCTCTTACCAATAGGCGTTCCCACTCCGTAACCTTTGGAGTCAATGAGGCCCCCGATCTGAGTGAGGTTGCAGTTTCTCTGCGTCACATACTCAATGCTGGTGGACTCCATCAGCAGCGCGTAGTCTGTGGTGAGCACTCTCTGGATGCCCTCGTCACTGTTTCTTACCAGGGCGGTCTGCTGCCTGCTGCTCATGAAAGCCCACATCTTCTCATAGGTAGAGATTTTTGATTTCTGCAGGGAAAGAAAGCACACTCACCAGCAGAAGAGGGCTGGAAAAATATGACCGAAAGGTATTCAGGTCTCAATGGTTCAGATAATGATGGGGAGGACACTTTCTCTGCAGGTGGGGGGAGTCAAGGGAGATGATCACAAGGCTTCAGTTTTGTAGCTGAGAAGAGCCCAGTTTACTCACTATTGGACAGCATTTGGAGGCACTGAGGCAGCTATTGCATGGAGACCTTGACCGATTGATGCAAGACATTGGTGCAAGGTCCTTTTGTTGCTTTCAGTTAGGGAAGAAAGAACATTGGTATCAATAATAGCACCTGCCTAATGAACTGTGGCCACTTAAGAACAAGCCATCATGGCCCACTGAGCTGAGGGGTGACTAGCTCACTCCGGGACTCTGTTCATTGAATTCATTTTTCTTTCAATCACTCAATTCCAGCAGGTGCTGTTGTGCTGTTTCCAGGTATGTAAGTTTCAATCCCTGATCCAGCATTCCTAGCCCTGGGGTAAATCACTGACTTCCTTTGCTAGATTTGTGGGAAAACTGTCATTCACTCTTCTCTTTTCTAGAAAACCTAGAATGTAAATGCTCTTTTCAAATTAAAATTTAGATAAGAAAAATCTTCACACTGTATTTATATGCCTTTTTAGATATATAATTTTAATTGCAATCATATTTTACATAATGAGGACTGAATGTATTATTTCAAAGCATTCTATTAATGTTTGTCTTTTCTCATATTCTTCAGCTTTTTGATAGATTCAGTAATAAATTATATGTTATGTAATATATGCACATATACATATGTACCACTGCTTCATTATCTTACTTTCTTTGCTAAAGTATACTGCCTACATTTTCATATTGCTTAAATCTGAATTTTCCATTCTTTTGAATAGAGATCTATGATTAGACATTTTGCATTTTACTCTGTAATTTCCATACAGTTCCATTTTTTTTTCTGAATTTGTCTTCATTTGCATCAGTATTCTCCTCCATTTATTTCAGAGATGAAAGACGTTACTGGTATTTTTAAGCTAACCCCAGTTATCACAATTATGCGCAGTGCTCACACATATTATACAGATCCCTTGGCAGGGACAGCATGCATCATCTCAGGAGTGCAGGAAAGCTTGAAACACATTTTGGGGCCATAAACAAGAAATGGAATACCCGTGGAGTCAACTCTATCATGGTTATTCATGCTCAAGTGTTCCTGGGGGCCACTCAATTCCAACCTCTATTTAGAACCTCAGTTAATACCATAGGGTTTATGAGTTAGGGGAGGACAGATGGCATTTTTTCAGATTGTTAGGCATCTGAAAAGCCCCCTGAGAAAGGTCTTGTGAGACAAATAACAATTCAATAAACAGTACCTTATAGATATTTGGAATTTTATGGGACCCATTTTGTCATATTGGGCCCCTGTGAGTTACACCAGTCCCAGAGATACCTGCAAATTATAGCTCATGTGCCCATGACAAAGGCGTGCTTTGGGGGTTAGGGTTACTGCTTCATTTGTTGTGTGATTTCAGCCTTGCAAAGTCTGCTAATGCTAAACTTCTAATAAAAGAGCTACTCATACAAGTGCAGACAGGTCAGTCTATCTTTTGGCAGTAAATGCATAGCTGGGAAAATTATTCTTCCATCAGGAAACTACCTTAAGGGAAAATAATTTTCTTTGAAGTCTAAAATTTTAAAGTTGTCAGAGACTTTAGAGATCAGCTCATATAAACTGCTACTTTCACAGAGGAGGAAGTTTTGGTTCAGCAAGCTTGGAGACTTCAAAAAGTTACAAAGCAAGTTAATATCAGAGCTAAATCTGGACTCCAGGACTCCCAATATCTAATTCAATGTTCTTTCCACTGTACCATGCTGATTTGGTTCAGGTGGATGTCTATATTGCCAAAATTCTTTTTAGAATTATTTTAATCTTATTTGATCTATATTCAAAAATACAGCTATTATTCAGGGACTCATATGATTCCTTGGGGTGGGTTACTAGTTAGTTTTATATTAATAAAAAATAGGAATCAGCCTTATAGAAACATTTCATAAATAACATTTATTTTTTTCATCGTATTTAGATTTTTTTAAAATGAGTGTTGTAAATCGTTAGAAAACTGAATTGGAGGTTTATGGAAGTCAAAAACGAAGCCAACGTTCAGTTCATCCATGGTAAATGGAGAAAGTGTGGGGAGTTCTTTAATTCATCGGGGAAATTGAAGGGTATGGGAAAGAATGGCATGATTCAACCCTAAACCTAAGTTATCTGAAGTGAAGAACTTTATTATTTTCAATTCATGGCAGACCTAGGTGTGGTCCTTCTGCACAGGATAAATATGTAGGTCATACCACACGTGACTTGCCCTGTGAGTATTCAGCAGCATGCAAGGGGTCTGATCTCAGGTCATGAGTTTAGTCAACATCAGTTGCACTAAATAGCTGCAACGTTTCTAAACACTTAACTTTTCAGTATTCTTTTCCTGTCACAGCTTAGTAACAAAATGTTTCCTAAGCCAGCATGCTCTTCACACTACACTGTGAGTAGCACTGCTCTGCGGCACAGAGATCATGTATTTAAATCCAACAACAGCCACATCTTCCTTCTTGGAGGAGAAGGTTGTTCTAGGCCTGACCTCTCCCTGGGAGCTACGGGGGAAATCTAGTTGGCATGGATGCCTTTGAGCAGGGAGGGCAGAATCTTCTCTCTGACAGAAAACTGTTACTTGGTAGGGGACTTGGTAAGTTGAAGGTACAGGGACCATTATAAATTCCTGTGACCCCTTGCTATTCTCACTCCAGCAAAGTCATGGTAAACAGAATGGGAGCAGAAAGAGCAGCGTTTGCTGTTATTTAGAGCTCTCTTTCATCATTTAGAAAGTTTGCTGTTGTGAGGCTCTATTGTATTTCAGTTAGAATTCTAGGCTACTTGAGATGCTATGGAACTTAGAGTTTGCAGGAAGATCCAGAATGTGGCTAAGGAATAACTTTTTAAATAGGTGGAAGTATCTGTAGATAGCTCAAGCACCTTAAGGGATAGTGAGTTTTCTTTTTCCTTTCCTTTCCTTTTTTTTTTGAGATGTTGTTTTGCTCTTATTGCCCGGCTGGAGTGCAATGGCATAGTCTTGGCTCACTACAACCTCTGCCTCCCGGGTTCAAATGATTTTCCTGACTCAGCCTCCTGAGTAGCTGGGATTACAGGCACCTGCCATCACGCCCAGCTAATTGTATTTTCAGTAGAGACGGGTTTTCACCATGTTGGCCAGGCTGGTCTCGAACTCCTGCCCTCAGGTGATTCACCTGCCTCAGCCTCCCAAAGTGCTAGGATTACAGGTGTGAGCCACTGTACCCAGCCAAACACAGTGCAAGGGCACTGGGCAGCTGCAAGGAGGATGTCATACTTATACGAGTTTTACATAAGGAGATGCTTCAACCACCATGTTCTACTCTCTAAACCAACCCCTTCCTGTCACATATGCAGATCCTGAGGTCAGGGACAGCAAATAACACACAGAAGGTCCGATGGTTAGTGAAGGAGGCAGCACAGAATTGAGGGCTCTTTCTTCTTTACTGCTGAGTTCCGTTCACTGTCATGCCATCCTCAGTAATGTTTAATTTTTGTTAGATAAAAAAGTAGAATTTTGGGAGTATTCCCTCTCAAGAGATTTTTTTTTTCATGGGTAAGTCTCAAACCTTAGTAATTCTTAAAAATAAAATTATACTTCATGAAAAATTATCATACATATTAAAAGACCACACAAAGTGTTAGAATGACAGCCTGGGCATTTTTGTACTTCTAAATTACATATAATCTTAGCCAGCCTGCTAAATTACTCTAAATAATATATGTTTCAAAAACAGAAAGAGTGGTTACCTCTTATTTCACTAGATATGCCAAAAGTTAATCAGAATATTTGGAATGTCTTCTGAGCTTCTTAGCAAAAGTTGCTAAAACTGAAAAAGCCTTTACTACATCGGAAATCATCCAGGATTTTTTTCTTCCTAATCCTGAGAGGCATCTGTTTAGATAAATTCATTTTATCTGTTAAACCTGATTATGTGGCTGCCCTCATGCTGATGAAACATTGTTGGCAAATAATAAGTATTTTTCATCTGAAATCTGTTATAAGGGAGTGTTACTGCATCAGTGTTTGATGAGCATTATTTATTTCCTTTTCCCTTATAATACATTCAAGTTAAACACTCACTGGGAATTAATTTGTAAGGTCTACAGGCAGTTAAAAATACTTACTGCAAACAGTAATAACAACCAACACATGCAGTGTTTATTTACTGTGTGCCAAGCAGTATTTTAAGCACTTTGCATATCTCGATTAAGTGGATCCTTACAGTAATCATATGAAACAGGTACCATTATTATTTCTCTTTTACAGATGAGGAAATAGAACAGCACATAAAGAAATGAGGAAACCAGGATTTGATCCCAGTAATCTGGTTCCAGAGTTTGTGTTTTTAACCAACAGGAAATGAACTGTCTGTTTTAATATACAGAACATTAAACTCCTGACTTCTCTAATGTTTCAACAGAATTAACAAATTTTCTAAAGAAATAATTGAAATAAGTAGCTGTGGGATCTTTCTACTATAGCCAAGGCTATGGCAAGTCTTGTACTCATCATATAATGTCCAGAATCGATTTGCCTGACTTAATAGCTTACATGTGTTTAGACAAAAATTTTGATAGTGTTTTAGGAAGTGCAGCAGTTGGAACCTGGAAAACAATGTGACTATTGTTTATATTGTTTCTTTAACAGTATTTTGGTTTTCATATATTTTCACTGTTTTTAATTGCAGGATTTCCACCACACAATGTAAAGTATGTGCAATTTCTGGGGGAGTCGTGTGGTCTTAAGCCTGATGGAATCTCCATTTTATAAAATATCCCTCTAATGTTTCTTTTTTATTGAGATAACTATTATTTATCAAATTATTTCTTTCACCAGTTATTATAAGACTTTTACAGTTAGGATGTATAATC